AGTGTTAGATTTAAAAATTGTGGGCTTTTTATGCCCGCTTTCATAGTTGTTTAATGCTTTGGTCTTGTCTTGTCCATAGAAAAATTTCCAACACTAATGCAAATGGAGCTTTCTTTCACACTATCATAAGTGGCCTCTGAATTTTTGAAACGCTCTCATTTTTGAAGTTATTTTCTTTCTCCGATATATAGCTTTGTTTACTTTGTTGTGTCATGGATTGATAGGTTGTATCACGTGTTGTCACGCGACAAATTTTTATGAAAATTTTGACAGAATACGATGACAGAGACCAAAATGTGTGAGTCAAAAAATTAATGAGCACATCCATCTGAAGACTTTTGAAAAAAATAGTCTACAAAACTTTTTCCAACACTCTGAAGCTTTGTCTTTTTTTTTCCCCCTGTATAGACGTCTTCGCCTTTTTATTAACATTGTTTGAGAGTTTTATGCATCCACTACAATTTTTCCAACACCAAGACAATGAAGGTTTTTTTAATTTGTCTTCCGTGATATGATTTCTTTCTTTTATTCACACTTCCAAAATTGTTTTGACCTTTTCACTCATCCATTATCCAACACTCACTGTGAATTCTGCAGCTGGGTTGGCTTACATGCAACCATTCCACCAACTGGGCTGTGAGTAAGCTTGTCCCACATCGATCCACTGGGCTGTGAGTAAACTCCTTATAATTCTGCCTCTAACACACTAGTTCGCCTCGTGAGGAAGAATCCCTTTGTCCCATCGGAAGTGTAAATCCTGAGAAAGGAAAAGAGTCCCATAGGAATAAGTCCCTCTGTCCCGTCGGAAGCGATGAAAACAATCGGACTGTCCCTGTCCCCATCGGACGCAAAGAAAACAACAAATGTCCCTTCGGAGGCAAACTCGACCCGGAAGAGGGAGATGGTGGAAATCCCATCGGAAGCAAAGAAAATAAATTGTCCCTTCGGAAGCCGAAGGTAAACCAGTCCTATAGAGATAACAACAAATGTGTGCGCATGTTAAGCAGTGAATATCGATAGTGAAATATGCCAAATTTGAGCCTCTACTATCTGTATCTGTTTGATGAAATGCCTCTGTGAGTGTCTTTTGTCTTTTCTCCTTTTCTTTAGTCTGCTGGCTGAAAAACAACTGAATTTCAAAGCCAAGAGAAGATTTTGATTTGTATGCAATTGAATAAGAGTTTCACTTGGTTGAAAGTTTTGAAAATCTCCATTCAAGTTTGTTTGAATTTGCGCTTGGTGCAAATTCTTTTGTGGGGATCTTGAGTCCTAACATTCCACCAGGCTTCTGTACCCAACATCCTCATTGGCCCACTCTACTGACACTGACCTGATGGTATCCCTTTCCTTTCTTTGAGACGGCTTCACTCACCTATCAGAAGTATTCAATGACTTGAGTATTATTGCCCATACATAACATCATTTTAATCTCAGCCTATAAGTCGCCCCTTCAGTGGATTTGGGCCCAGTTGTGTGGTGAAACTAGGCTCTGATACCAAATGTCTCATGGGTAGAAATTGTCCTTAAAAACCGGCTTGTAAGAAAAGGGTGCCCATGAGCTCTTAAACCACTATAGGATATGCTATTTTTCCAATGTGGAATCTTGAGTCCTAACAATGCCTCTCTTAGTTAAGTTGCAAGAGTATTAGAATATTGATTTTGGTTGTTTGAGGAATTCATAATGGCACCTATATGGGTTTTATGGAGTGCAAGGATCGAAAAAATCGTAGTGCTGTAATTTTTTCATACACCTTCCTCCCCTCGATGGCTGCAATTTGTGGGCGTGCGTGACAAGCTTTCAATGGAGTTATTGGGTTACCTCAATTTAAGAGAGAGAGAGAGAGAGAGAGAGAGAGAGAGAGAGAGAGAACAAGCGGAATTTTTTGCTCATCAGGCAGGAAAAAGGGTGAGTCAGAAAGAGAAAAGATCAATTTTTCCATAAGAATTTCCACTAGCTAATATTTCTTGTGGAAATATGATCAGATCTATATTTCGATTTTGAATCTTTTGTTCTGTTGTTTGAACAAAATTTTATTTACATTTCGGTTTCAGTCAACAATGTTGTTCAAGATTCTATCAAATTTTGGATTATAATTAGATTTAATCATATTCGCATTTTACCTATTTGAAAAACGTCAATCTTCTGTAAGACCTGCAAGTTATAATATAGGCCGTATATGGTGTTGGCTGTTTTGCACAAGATAGATATGGCATCATCCTGTGACAATTTTCAGTGCATATGGTTCTTATATATTTTCCTTCTTGTTCAAAGAGTTGGTCTGTATATCCTTGAATATGAAATTTCTAAATGGTCTGAAGAAAAAAAAGAAAAAAAGAAAAAAAGAGCAGAACATACTGTAGTCAAAATGAGGCTGAAACGAAACCTACTACATCAATAGATGCTCAATGTTGTTGAGCAGGATGGCATTTGTATTGTGCAAATGGTTAAAATGGCATAGCTGGAACTTTCTCTTGTCCAGGTACTGATGGGAGCAATTGTATTCAAATACTTACCTCATTGTTGTTCTAGTTTGTATGGCATTTGCGTTATTTATCACGTCTAATACTTTATTGCTCTGTGCAGGCTAATGACTGCTATTGTCCTTCCTTTTAGCAAAGGGAGCTGAGGACTGGTTATCTCACAATGAAGAGTTCTATAGCTCACGTGATAGATGAATGCAGGAGTCCAGATTCTTGAAAAAAGAAAAAGGCAATGTTTAGCTTGGTGGGGTAGCCTACCTCCAAAAACAATGGCTTTTCCTAGAACCCAAAAGTCCAAACCAGGACCCAGTTCCCCAATCATCTTCCTTGTCATCTCCATAGCTGCCATTGCACTCCTCTTTCTCGCTTCCTCTCTCATTTCCACTAGTGGGTTCTCTTTATCCTCTCCGAAAACCCTCGAAAGCAGACCCAAAATAAAGAACATGAACCAGAACCGCCAAACTGGCCACGAGAAGTACCTCTACTGGGGTGACAGAGTTGATTGCCATGGAAAGCACTACAGTTCCTGTGCGGGTACGGGCCACCAGGAGTCCAGCCTCAGGTGTGCTCTTGAAGAGGCTATGTTCCTGCAGAGGTACATTCCAACTTTTTAAATCTCTTGAGTTTTTTTTTGTTTTCTTATTTCTGTTTTCGGAGTTGATGTTGTGTTTGGTTGCTGTGCAAATGAGGACAACAGAGAATTGTGGAAGAGATCAGATTTGATATCATAGGGGCGAGTTAAATGGGTTTCGAACCCAACTGTCTTTCAACTTCTATTTTATTTTCTTTTATTGTTAGAAGCTTTAAGATTGGCTTCTTTGGGATGGTAAAACTTACTTGCTTGTTTCAAGGTGTGGTTTCACTCGACTTGTCGACATAACTGTTGTGCATGTATTTTTAAAAGAAATTAAATTGACATATTTGTTTAGTATTAACTCTATAGGTTCCAGACCGTTTTCAATTTTTATAGATATTTTTTTCCACTCTATTCTTTTCTTCTTCAATCAACAACTGCCTCCATCCTCAATTTCCTACAAATTTCAGAGCTTGACCATCAGCAGCATAGAGAAAATCACATCACATGTGGAGAGATAGATAGAGAGAGAGAGAGAGAGAGAAGATGATATGACTTATGCGAGGATGGGTCTCTCTCTGGTTTGTTTGAGAGGACGGGTCTCTCTGGTTTGTTTGGGAGGATGGGTGTATGGGTTTTGTTTTACCCGATTCTACGTGAAACCTTATTAAAAGCCATGTTTTAATGCTGCCGTCCAGTTTCATCCAACGGCTGCTATCTGCCCGCAAGAAAGAGAACGGCTAAACCTTAGGAATGAAAGCAGACGTGGTGGAATAGAAATAGGAAACTGCAGAATATAGACGACGTGTTAATCAAGAATTATATTTTGGGTTTTCCTCATGAAATATGGAAACTACCTTTCTATAAATATTAAAAATTAAATAAAAAACCAGAAACATTCCCATTTGAATTGAGTTTCCGTAACCGCCTCCTCCTTCCTTCTCTATAAAACTCAATCACAACCCCGACCTTCACTCTCATATTAAGATCTCCCAGAAACCCAAGTCACAGGTACTTTCTTCAACTTGAACAATCCAAGTTATGGTTTTTTGCCCTAGTTTTCTTTTTCTTTTCTATGTTTTTTCAAACCGAAGTTTTGGAACAAAGCTTCTAGTTGTTCTCAGTCTCTAGATCCAATTAGATCTCTGCTATATATTATTTTCCTGGGTTCTTCTAATCTAAACATAAAAAATTTTGTCTCTCTATGTTTTGTGGAATTATAGAAGATATGGTGGCCCCTCGAAGAAGAAGCTTAGAACTCATACCTAATGAGGGCACTCGGAAAATGACCTTTCGGAAGCGAAAGAAGAGTATATATAAAAAGGCCGACGAGCTTTCGAAGCTTTGTGGTATTGATGTTTGCTTGATCGTCTACGAAGCCGATCAAAAGAAGGGGAGGGCAGTTCAACCGGAGACGTGGCCGCGGGATCCGACTCAATTCAAACGCATTCTCAACAAGTACAAGGATTCTAAGGATACGTCCACGCCCGGATTGAAGAGAAACTTTGATATGTCCGATTTTTATGAGGACAAGAAAGATCACGTGGATGAGGATGATGAAAAGTTTCAAAATTTAGGGAAGAAGATTTTTGAGGAGGAATACCCGACAAAGTTTCAAAATTTAGGGAAGAATATTTCTGAGGAGGAGTACCCGACATGGGACGATCGAATAGATGATTTTTCGCAGGACGAATTGACTAAGCTCATTGCTTCACTCGAATCTAAGATACAAGTTGCAACCAAGAAGATTGATTCTATGGAAAGATATATGGGGTTTAATCAGAAACAAAATCAATGTTTCGTCTGGGAAGATACTAATCATGATGAGCAGCCGGCCTATCAAGTCCCTGCTTTGACGTCTCCTCCATCACTTGTGCATTATCCAATGTTGCCAAGTGCATGGGTATCAAGATCAGAATTGGAGAAGAGCTAATGACAACTTGACAACCTCAGTTCGATTTTGATCCTTTGTAATCGAATTTCTAGTATTGTTTAGTTCGATTTTGATGTACCTTTTGGCTGGGGATAATATAGGCCTATAATATAGTTCACCTTCCGTCAAGGTCTCGAATTCAAGGCCACAGCTTAGCAATTATTTCATATTTCTATTCAATTCATGGGGTCAATAAAAATATATGGTCTTTAAGTACGTGTCCAATAAAAGCATGCATGGGGGTTTGTCCAATAGTCCTGTATATGTATGTATGCATATGAATCTATATATGTGTACCTATGATTTGGAGTATATATGTTCATTGAAGTGAGCTCGATCATCCGGGAATAGCAAAACTGGTTGCTGCACATGCAAAGCCACCCAATTACATATGTATTTCTTTGAGTTCTTTGAGCCTCCAAACTTATCGGAGAAATTACATACTGAAGAATGGAGTCCGAATATCAATCATACATGAGCAGTGAGCTAGAAAGATTCATATAGTTTATGTCTATGCTGCCCACACTCTTATGGCTGAGCTGCCATTCAGTCATACATGAGCAGTGAGCAGTTCTCTCTCTCTCTCTCTCTCTCTCTCTCTCTCTCTCTCTCTCTCTCTATGAGGTTGTATGATGGAGCTAAGATTATTCTCTGAGTTGGTAAGGTTAAATAACGAATAAAAAAACACATCAGTGGACAGGCCCTCTATCTCTATGTGTTGATGAATTGGTGGTAATCTCAATCCAAGGTTATCAAGTTTGAGTTGAAGGGTTGGTAAGAAATAAACCAAACGCAGATGGAAAACGGCAGTTTGCCTTTTTTGAAAATCTTATTAATTAAGCCTTTGGTTTTAATTTCTAACCCTCAAAAAGTATGAAGGCTCTGTTTTTGTAATCGGAAGTCAAGTACTTTCCTTAATAGTGGACAAATCATATTTTATTGCGACAGGCTGTAGCTGATGTTCCTTGAATGTTTTGATACATGAAATCGCTTACTTTCACACTCGATACCTATAATATTGATACACCATGAAATGTGCATTAGACATTTAGTCACGACATACGTTTATGAATGAGTACATGCTCATACTTCACGCCTCGAGAACAATAATAATTTCCCATATGCTGGGATACATTACTCAACTTTCATATTCAGGTATCTCCAAAATCTGCTACATACTACTTAAGCCATAGCCATATACACTATGAAAAAATATAATTTCTTTGACACAATAACACTATAAAGCAAGGACCACTTCAATACTTCAAATACCAAGAGAATTCCAGCAAACCAAAATTTACAAAAATATGCTATGGTTGCGATCATGTCTTTCACTAACATTTCAGAAATCTCAAAACAAGATAAAGATGAACCCTGTGAGAGCAGATATTTTCGTCTCCAATCACAGCACGACACGTGGAAAAGAATATTATCTCTTTTAATTAATTAATTGAACCAGTTTATCTGGCCAATTAATTAATTGGGATAAATATCTTAATTAAATGATATTATCTTTATTTAATAAGATAATATCATTAATTAAGATATTATCCTAATAAAGAGAAGATAATGTCATTAACTCAGATACTATCTTCATAAAAAGAGATAATATCATTTAATTCAGATATTATCTCCATAAAAAGAGATAATACCATTAAATCAGATATTATCTCAGTCTGCCTCGATCCCTACGAATTTGAGTAGAGAATAAACTCAGCATATTCTCTACGAAACCCTAGCCCCGAGGCTCCTATAAATAGATGACTTCATTCATCATTCAAAGTACATCTAAACCTACTCCTTATACCTGAGAAAAATACCCGAAGCTCTTTCTCCCTCTCCACTCTCCATATTTTCT